CTAAGAGAGTGTAAACAACTGAAGGGTTCTCTGCCCACACTAGGAGAGTGTGAAAGGACGATGGGTTCTCTGCCCACATTAGGAGAGGGTGAAAGGACGAAGGGTTCTCTGCCCACACTAGGAGAGTGTGAAAGGATGAAGGGTTCTCTCCCAACACTAAGAAGAGTGTAAAAGGACGATGGTTCTCTACCGCACTGGGTAGTGATGGAAGAGAGTTTTGTAAAGGCTTCTCCACCTTTCTAAGGAGAGTCACTAGTGGTATTAGTGCAATACTCGGAGGGTGCCTCCGGGGAGTGGATGTAGGTCTGGTTTTGACCGAACCACTATAAATTTTGTCTTAATTTTTCTGCTGCTTTTTATTTTTGTGTTTTTTACTTTTAAAACTATGGTTGAAAAATATTTTCTAGAAAAATTCATTAAAGTTTTATTTTTGTTTCCTAATTCAAAAAGAGGGTTAATTTTTTTCAACCGATTCTACTCATGATGGAGTAATTCAGGGAACTCATAAAACAGATTTTACCACAACTACTTTGGCGGCTGATGCTAGTGTAATTGGTAATTACACTCATACTACACTCCTTGATTCTTCTTCTTCTCCATCAGCTATTAGTTTGAATTTTAAAAAGACCATTCTTAAAAAAGATAAAAAAATTTTAAGAATGATTCCTCCGGCTCAAAGCATGTTTTATTCAAAGAACTTCAAGCATTGAGACCGGTGAAAGATTTACCTAGAAGAAAGATGGCTGAACACGAAGAGAAGAACGGTGGGAAAGGTTCTTCTTCCCTCTTAGCTCACTAATATGAAGGAGTCTTCCGTGAATAGCTACAAATCGGAGTTATTATTGAAGATAGAGAATATGATCTTAAAGTTTGGTATAACTATACCAAACTTTTGGAATTTATTATTGAAATGTAATTTTATTTTTAGATTGTATTTCCTCTTTCCTAGTTTAATTTGATTTTTTTAAACTTTGAGTAATTGTTTATGAGATCTTTACTAATTCTTATTCTCTAATTGGATGAAAACTCTGGGATACTAATCAACCTTCGGGTTGTCTTATATTTTGGTATCCTCTGCATCTCAACAGTTTCAAAATAGAAGTTAGTGGATTTCATTACAATTACAATAAGTTCAAATAAACAAATTACATTTTAATAAGGTCCTTTTTATTGTTAAAAAAAGGATCATTTAGTTCTTTTTACTAGTTTGTATTAGGCTATCTACTTTTTATTCTAATGCAATTTATGCATTTTCTCAAAAAAAAAAAATAAAAAAAAACTTCCCCCATATGTACGTCTGTGCATGATCGCTATGCTAACATACACCTTTTAAAATATATTGACTTAAGAAAGATAAAAATGTAGATTTTTGTAAAAATTGATCATATACTACCTAGTCTTAAGCCTCGATCATTTAGCTTTGCTTAGTGTATGTTGTACCTGAAATATTAGTACACACAGAAAACATATGCAATAGTAATATATAGAAGAAAATAGATAAACTCTAATAATGTTTGTTATCATTAAATCATATGCTTGGGCTCCCGGACTGCAACAACCCAGTCTTTTATACCATAAGAAGAAGAATTCTCACTAACTCTACTACGTTTAGTTCCAACTTCATGATACAAAGTGATAAGTATTTTTGCAAAAGTTTTGTTAAGATTAAATCAATATAACCCCTCAGATAAAATGCCAGAACTAAAAAATGAGTCATTCCTTAACAAATGGAAACCCTTATATTCAAAATATAAAGCATAACCATCATAATTAAGTCTTGATAGAGAAATTAAATTTTTGGAAATAAAAGGAACATAGAAAATATCAAATAGATCTAAATTGTGAACTAATTCTAAAAATAAATGTGAAGTTCCAAACCAACAACTAGTACTTGAGTTTCATTTCCCAAGATTATTAAATGCTCATTTTCCTTTATATTTTGAATTGAAAGGTATCCCTGCATTGAATTTGAACACGAATAGTAAAACTAGAGTCAATCCATTTATTAGAAGGAACTTCTATCATATTTGATTCAAAACATACATAAGCCAAAAGCTTAGCCTTCTTCTCGAGCCAAACTTTATGTTTTGAGCAATTTTTTTGTAAATGCTCATAGCCATTACCGAAATAATATTTCGATCCATTATGTTTCTTTTTGTGGGTCTCACTGACATGAGAATGTCTTGCAACTTTCACTGGATCTTTCTTAAAAATCTTCTTCGATTTCTTTCCTTTACTTTTTATTCCAAGGCTCGTAACATTAACTGAATTTTGTCCTTGTTTTCTTAGCCTTGCCTCTTCTTGAACTAACATACTTGCCAGTTAATTCATATTCCGCATTTCCTTAATAGTGTTATAGTGAATTTGAAATGGCCAATACTAAGTAGGCAAGGAATTCATAATGAACTAAACAAGGAAAGTTTCATCAACAATCGTACCCAGAGATATTAGTCTAATAGCTAGATTGGGCCTTTCAAGGACATGCTCATTCATTCCACGGCTACCATTAAATTTCATGGTGTTAAGCACAACCATTAGTTTCCCTCCAAGGGACTTATCTGCTGAACGAAATTGATATTCCAAAGCCTTGAAATAATCCTTTGCAATTTCTATTTTAAGGAAGCATTGATTTAATATTATTCACAATACACATTCGCATAAATGCTTAATCTGTTTGTTCTTTCCCAAGATTATTAAATGCTTAATCTGTTTGTTCTTTCCCATGACTTAAACAAAGCTTGCTGCTCTAAATTGCTTGTTTCAGTAATAATAGTCAGTATATCAATTCGCAGTGCTATGTTAATATGCGGAACACCAAGGTAAAACTGAATTAATTCTTTCCAGATAGAGAAATTAGTTCCACAAAATATCATAGAAAAAGACACAAGTGAATGAAGCAAAATAGGAACTGACACTGCAATAAAATCATCACAACATTAATGCTTTGAGAAAATTACTTTTATTGCAATATTGTATTCAATATTTGGATTAACTAATGCAATATATTAATGATATTCAAATTTAATAATGATTTCCATTAATCTAGGTATAATTGATTGTTTTTTAAAGTTTGATTGGTTTGTCACCTTTTGGCATCCATTCCAATCTCACTTAAATTATGTCAATTAACCAAATTAATTTAATGGCTACTTAAAAGATGGCGCACCTTTGGGTAAAACCATAATAATCAAATAATCTTTTCATAATAATTTTGCAAAGTCATAATTCAATTCAATATTATAATTTTTCAAGCAAGATAACTTTGGTGAAAACATGCTAACCATAAAATAAATATATTGATTTATAAATAAGCCAGCAAAATTTTGTTGAAGTTCAAACCAGATAAATAATATCACAAAATAAATGAATAAATTATATATATATATATTATATCATTATAATATATATATATATATATATTATCATTAAAGACAATAACTCAGTTACATGTAAAATCTAGTTCATAATAGTTCAGCCCATGCATACATAAAGATAATTAATAATCCGATATAAGTTACATAATCAATATCCATACGAAATCATGATATTCCAATAAAATTAGTTACAAAATTATTCATCAAGATTTCATTAAATCTAATTATCAAATAGCAATTTTTTTTAAACAATATGAACGAAAAAATATTGAACATAAAATAAATAATAAGATCGAATAAAGAAAAGTTAATAGAATTAATCTCTATATTGAAAGGAATATCATGATAGTTTCAACCTCACTCTGATACCACATGTTTAATATACATTAGAAAAATTAAGTCTTTTACTATCACAAAAACAACATAATTATCTTTACGTGAAAATAAACATTTCTATAATACATACTAGAATCAACCATAATGAAAAATTCTTGAAGAAAAGCTTGCAAAAATTTATTTCTCTCACTTAACCTCCTTTCTTTTCATCACTAGAGTATCTCGAAAAATCGGAATTAAAAAAATGTAGATAGAGAGAGGACAACTCCTTAATTCGCGTGTGTGTATAAAAGCAATTATCGTGCTTCCCATAAAAATAAGCACACATCTTCACATTAAATCAAAATATTGCATCTATTCACATTGAGGCTTCATTTGGGATGACTTTCTTACTTCTTCTTAAAGAATCCTATTAGTGCAAAAAATAAATTTTTATACTAAAAAGTTATTTTAAGAAGCAGAAAAAACCACCACAAATAAAACCTATATCTAAACAATGCATCCTTTCATATAACAATATAATTCTTCACATAAATTCTAAACAATGCATCCTTTCATGTGGGACATATTCTAACATTGACCTCCACAATTTGTTGATCCTCTTTTCATGGACTAAACACCATATAATTATCTTCCAATCTTCTAAGGGTGTTCCACACATCTTTAGCCACCCACCGTACCATGAACAAGCCTTCAATCAACAATTCAAAGGTTAGCCTAGTTTTCCAAACATGAAAATTCCTCTATGAAGTTTTATATCCCATTGCATGGTATCAGAGTGAGATTGAAACTATCACGATTTTCCTTTCAATATAGAGATTAATTATTCAATCAACATCCTTTCTTCTCTATGGGGCTCCTTATGTGTGTTATCCAAATTAATTATGACATCAGATATATTCTCATTCTATTGCTATATTCATTATGTGCAAAACATGTTACATTTATGATTTTCATAAATTTATTTTATAGATTGGTGTGATACTTTTATTGATTAAATTTATTATTATTTTTTAATTATTATGATGGTTAAAAGTTTTTATAATTACAATTATTAAAGTTTGATAACTTTTAAAAATTAATACTATTAAAATAATAATAATACTCATAATAATTTTCAAAATATTATTTTGAATAATAAATTCATAACTAATTTTAAATGCAATTCTGCCCCAATTGAGACTTACAATCTGTTCATGATGCACGAGTTGCAAAAATGCAAAGTTAAAAAGAAAAAAAAAAAGCAAAGTAAAAGACGTGCCGACTTAATCCTTAATTTGTTGTTAGAGCGAAAAATGAACTTTCAATTCTCTTTCAACTCCCCACTTGCCCGTACCCTTACACTGCCACTTGCATGGTGAGAGCAGAGGCCGGCTCTGCTGCCGGCCGGGGGAGTCTTCGCATCGTCTGATCTCGAAAGCTGCGATCGAGTAATCTGCTCTCCTCTGGGAGAGGGTGGTGTCAGTTGTCGATACGCCTGCCAATTTTCTAGGCCGACGTTTTCACGAGGAAATCGGCCGGATAATGAACGGTAAGGTTGGAAGCGAGGCTTTTGACGCGACGCCCTCCTCTTTGCTGCCTCCACTCGAATGGAAATTCTCGCAGGTGTTTGGCGAGAGGATCGCCGGAGAGGGAGTCCAGGATGGTATGCCCCTCCGCTGCTCTTGTAATTTGTTCTAGATCTGTTCGTTTGCGTTCGAACTGAGAGGATTTCGGTTGTTGTCTATGTTTAATCTAGTAGTCCGGTAGTTAGATCGAACGGGCATTCCACGGACTTACTCGCTGTGGTTTGCGTGAGTATCTGTAGATAAATTGCTCGAGATAATGCCATCAAATTTCCGGCGATTGGTTCGCATGTTAACCTGAATAAGGGAGGGAGCTTGGTAAATGTATGTGTTCTCGTGATCTTGTAATTTGTTGTAGTTGGTGCGTGTGCGGTTTCTGCATTTATTGTCGATTTGTGTTCTTTTCTTGCTTGTTATGCTAATGAAGTTTATTCCGGATCACCTTGATTATTGCTAAGCAAGCTTCAATTGCTTCGTCCCACTGGATACACTTGTCACCTTTCAAACTATGAACCTATGCTGATACTTAAATAGGTTTCATCCTTTATATCAGAGAGTCGATATTGCATCTTTTCCTTGATGGAGCTCCTTTCATGACTTATTCTGTAAATAGTTTTGCTTCATTAATTATTTCTCCATCTGAGGCTAAATGGTTTGGATCGATATATCGCATCTTTCTCTGTTACACTGACCTATAAATCAATAACCCTAAAAATATTTTGCCTTCCATCCTAAATTACTTTTTCCGTTGGCTAAAAAAAAAAAATTACGTTTTCCGATACAAAATGATATGATGACCTTACATTTGTTTGTTAAGTAACATGTGCATATTCTGTAAATTCTACTTTGTTATATTCTGTAACTTCTGCTCACAAAGATGACCTTACATTTAGCGTAGTGATGATTTTGCATGCATTCTGCTTGCTTGAGACAAAGAAAACAGTTGTGCGTTGAACCAGGTCATGTTTTTTAAGACTTTCCTAAGGTTTTGTCTCGCCAATGCCAATTTTGTTTTGAAGGGTAAACGACTACATTATCCCCACTAAATGGGCTGTTAACACTTATACTTTTGGCGGTGTAATAAGTATATTGCTTAACTTTTGTTTTATGCACATATTCATACTTCTTCTGCAGGATCATAGAGGACTATGTTAGTAGCTGAAATGGGTTAGTTTAATTATTGGATGAACCTGATTTTCATTAAATTTGATGCAATTTATATATTATTTAAAAAATGCAATCAATCTATATGATTTTAAAAATCCCTCTATTTTCTTTTGGTGAGACCCGAACTACATGACATACATCCAACATTGAGTTGCATAATAAAAAAATTGGGCTTGCTGTCATTTGGGTTGTTTCTTGATCAAATTCCTCTAAAAATATGCATCCAAGGCACAAGGAAACTTACCAATGTAAGGTTTGTGAAGGGTTGATGCGTACAACCTTAGCTTTGCATTTTAGAGAGGATGTTTTTGTAACTTTTAGATCATAATGGAGGGATCCTAATTGGTGGACCAGACCTGACATTTATGGGTTTAGCATTCTAATGTGATAATTTTCATATCAGATCTGCTATGCAACACCCTGCTACTAAGCATAGAGATATATGGATTAACTTTGATGAAAAAGGTGGGTTAAGGTATCTTTTTATTTGAGTAGGTAGGATGGGTTGATTATGGTGCCTTGATTTTTTAGTTTCTTCGGCGACACTCATGCATATTATGATGAGTTTAATTTCATGTTATTTCAAAAGTTTCTATTTAGCAGAAGAGGTCCAACCAATTAGATGTGAAAGGCTTCAAGTTGTCTTTGATTTATGGAATTATTTGTTTCATCCATAATTGACTTTATACTCTTTTTTGCTTATTCCACCGGATCCAAGTAATGTGGTAAAAAAAAATCATTGATGGTTAAGTTTAGAGTGATGGAAATAAAATTGTTAAGGTGGATATGTGAAAAAATATGATGGATAAATGAACTAATAATTAAATTGGTTGGATGATTGTGGCAATATCTTTTGAAAATAATGCATTTGAAAATATATTTCGGTGGTTTGGACATGTATGAAGAAGGATAGAAAATGCACTAATTAGATAGATAAATTAAGTTAGTTTTAAAGAATTGAGGAGAAGGGGCATACCTAACTTAATATGGATAGAAATTGTTTAAAATGATTTTTAAAGAATAGATCCATCACCTCATGCAACAACAACAAGCTTTTATTCCACTTTGAAGTCAGCTGCATAAATCTTTTTTCTCCATTGTGTCTATTAAGAGTTAAATTCTCATTTAAATCTAATTAAAAAGGTCATTTTTAATACTCTCTAACTTAGCCTTTTTAGGTCTACCACTACTTTTCTTAATATAGGTTGAATTTAATACATCTACTATCCTAATAGGGTCATCAGAAGGTCGACATTTTATGTGAAAAAAATCATCTAAGGAAGCTCTCTCTAATCTTATCTTTCAATGTAGTTACTTTGACCTTTTCATGTATATATTCATTTCGCATTCTATTTCTAAGTGTAAAGCCACTCATCCACCTAAGCATCCTCATCTCTGCAATCCTTAACTTAATTTTATGCTTCTCTTTTAATTTTAATGGCTAATATTTTGTGCCATAGAACATTTTAGGTATCAACACCATCTTATAAAATTTTACTATTAAGTAGGAGGGGTACTTTTCAATCACACATGCCTAATTCATTTCTCTACTTCAACCATCCAACTTGAATTCTACTAATAATATCCCCATCTATTTCACCATCACTTTGAACAATGGACCCAAAAAATCTAAAACATGCACTCTTTTTAATGACTCGGACACGCAATGTCACAATTTCACCTTTATATCTATTACTACTAAAATTACACCCCATGTATTTGGTTTTAGATCTTGCAAATGTCTAGCAAGAACATCCATGAATAAAACAAAAATATATGGGCTTAAAGCTGATCCTTTATGTAATTCTACTAAAATAGGAAAATACTTGGTTAAACCATTTTGTGTTTGAATATTAGTAATAGCTCATGTATACATATCTTTAATGACTTAAATATATGCATTATTAACTTCTTTTCTAGAACTCTCCAAAGCAATTTTCTTAGAACTTTATCATATGCTTTTTCTAAATCAATAAATATCATATGTAGATCCTCCTTACTCTCTCTTTATACTTCCCCATCAAACCTCTTAGGAAATGTATAGCTTTCATTGTAGATCTATCTTGCGTGAATCCAAACTTATTTTTAGAAACATTAGTATCATGTCAGAACCTATACTCAATTACTCACTCTCCCTCTCCCAAAATGTATGACACATTAACTTAATTCTTCTATGATTTGCCTCATGCTATAATAAAAATTGATGAATTGTAAAAGCTGACTTCAAATATTTATTATAAGACCAATGATGTTGATGTGATGCGTGTTGCATTTATGTTGCTACAACATGTTCCTGTTTGTGTTCTATTTGGAGTTGACATTTCTTTAGTAAATTGTTACTCATGCAGTTGACTTTATTTCTGCAATTCAATTTGATAAATCTGGGGACTATCTGGCTACTGGAGACAAAGGAGGGCGTGTAGTTTTATTTGAAAGAACTGATGTTAAGGAGGTATATAGTTTTCCTCTTTGTTACTGATTTTTCTCCATTAGCTATGAATTTCTAACTTTGTTATTTTTATCCACCATGCAGAATAGTTCTCGAAGAGATCTTGAGAAGTTGGATTATACTATTTGTGGGCATCCTGAATTTCGTTACAAAACAGAATTTCAAAGTCATGAACCTGAGGTATTCATCTTGCTCAAGCCCACTAAATAGGGTTTATTGGCATATTATCTCTTTTGATTTGTGCTGTGTTTTTGCAATCAGTTTGACTACCTCAAAAGCTTGGAAATAGAAGAGAAAATCAACAAGATTCGATGGTGTCAGATCGCAAATGGTGCTCTTTTTATTTTATCGACTAATGACAAAACAATCAAATTCTGGAAGGTAGGTTTTAGTAAAAAGATTTTCAACTTGTTAAATAATTCTTCTCTACTATTGATGTAATTCATATTTACTTTTGTATGGGCACTAGCATTTTTTTTTTGTCTTTTTTTTTTTTCATGGTTTTTTTGCAGAGTGAAACTAGATGTAGTCTTCCATTAATAACTTTGAGGGCATATGCTTTTGCCCTTCGTGGCTACATACTTATAGCCGATAAAATTACAGAGAAATTTGTCCATTACCATTTGTAAAAAAAGATTTTTTTTTGGTTTGCTCAGCACAAGCAAAATTACTTCATAGTTGGCGTCTGAGAGAGCTACTCTACATTGTCATCAATACACGGCCCGTTATTCAACTCATAAATGCAAATCAATAATTTGAGTTTTTATTTTAATTTGTTGATTCTATGATAGTAGTGTCTTTGATTTGTCAGAATTTAAGTTTTAGTTTTTGTAGTATTAACCTAGCCTGTGGTGATCCCTGCGAGAATAGGTTGTTTTATCTAATGTTCTAGGCTTTCTTCCTTCTGATTCGATTTGATATCTATATTTTTCATCTTTGCTTTCTTTATTTGTTCTATTTTTATCTAAATGCTGGTTCTTTGTTTAATTATTTTGGCTGTGGCTTCTCTGTTTAGTTATTTAGGTTACTAATTCTTTGTTTAGCTATTTAGACCTTTAGTTGGATTTCTGCTGGTTTTTGTTTGTTCATTGTGATTTATGTATGTTTATTGCTTGTTTGTAATTTGGGCCTTCAAGATGGCCTTTGACTTTTCATCATATTGCTAGGCTGAATAATCCTGTTAATTCTGTTCGTTGGTATTGTTGCAAAGCATGATTAGTGGCTTCTTGATGTATGCCTTTTATCAATCCTCTACGAGCTCCTATTCACAATCCTTATGCCATGCCACTCGTAAGCAGCATTAGTGCAAATCATTTATGACTGAATATTTGCTGTTTATTTTCGTTGTCATTTGAAGAAGAATTTTGTGTTTTTATATAATATATTTAGGAACATGTAAAAATAGTCTATTTATAACATTTTCTTGGTATTGTGTGTCCTCTTTGTGCTAGTGTTGGTTGAATGTATATCAAATTTCGGGGAAAGTTATTTCCTTGTACTAACATGAGGCCTTGTTTGTTATGTTTGGTGATTTCTTTCATTTTATATTTTAGTTATTAGTCTGTTTTTTGTAATTAGATTTGGTCAGAGCTTATATAATATGGATTTTTAATTGCAGTGTGATTTTTTATAGTTTTGTGGTTTTTTTTTATCTTGAAATTTTGCTATATTTTGATTTGAGAAATTAATGAAATATCATTTATGATAATGTTTTTTTGTATTTCTATTTTTTCTAAAGAGATTTGTTTAAATTAAAAGTTTGTGGGCTATGATTTGGGTTATTGCTTGAGTGTTTTTGTGCTTCTCATCTTATGATCATGTTAGAAGCTTTAAATCGTAAAAATTCCTGTGTTGGATTTGGTATTATAGCTCAAGGTTGCATAATCATGCCAGCCAGAAGTGGAACATAATAATTGGATTTAAAAAAAAAAAAACTAACAACTAAATGCAATTTAAGTAAAAATAGATAAGTTATGGATAGTTATGGATCTAGTATTACACGATGACTATTATGAGGTTCATAATTATATTGCCACAATTGATGGGATGTTTTATCTTAAGGGATTTTCAAATTTAATCAGTAATTTAAAAGATATTTTCGAAAGTTACAATATGACGGAGTCTCTCAAAGAGATACTGTGTTTGGCTATTGCTTATGTATATCAAAATGCTCAAAATTTCAGTTTGACGTTTTCCATATGTTTGATGAAAATGAGGCAAATTTTTGAGAAAAAATTCATGCTTACATTTTTGAAAATTTGGGGTATTATACATTGTTATTTGAATAAGGGTTGTATGATTATAAATAAGACATGTAGGGAAAAAAATCATGAATAATATTTCTTTGACTTTTTTGTTTCCTCTTTATGGTTGAGTGCTGATTAGATGTGGATCATCAAGCATGGTGCAAGTGTTAACTAGCTCTTTATTGTTGAAACTTTTTCATTATAGTGCTGTGAGACTTGGATTATTATTTTGATGATTTCTTATTCTATCTTTTCTACGTTTTAGTTGTTAGTCTTTAATGTAATCGCTGGAATGAAGAACGACAGGTGACAAGCAACAGAGAAAAGATTTCTATAAAACAGTGTTTCTGTAATTTGTATATCAAAAGACTGCCCTCTCTTTTTCCTCACTAATATATATATTTTCTATTTTCTTTAATACTAGATAATGCTATTACTGTAATAGCAATAAAAAGGGTAGCAATGGTACTATAATAATAGATATAGTAGCAGTATAGCAAGAAATAATGTGGGGGTGGGTAATATGTCCTGTGCTTGAATGTGCTTTGCTCAACCTAGCTCTGCATCAGTCCTCCTCAGCAGCTGACGAGCTCGACTCCGATTAGCATATTGAAATAGCAACACCATTAGGGGTGGGGGGGGGGGGGGGGTGTTGAAATGGCCAAATATTAGCTACCATTGAATTGTAGGAACATGGTGGAGTCTGATGGTAAGGCAACAATGTAGGCATTTTCATTGATTTTGGCAATGATAGGCACAGGGTTGATTTTACGACATGTGAGCTTCGAATATATACCTTGAGGAAAACATTCACGATGAAGTCTGACCATAACAAGATTGCCAACATTAAATAGTTTCTGTCGTTTGGGCATCTATGGCAAACTTGTAGGCATTGAATGTAGGAGACGTGTGGCAGTCTGATGGTAAGGCAACAATGTAGGCATTTTCATTGATTTTGGCAATGATAGGCACATGGTTGATTTTACGACATGTGAGCTTCGAATATATACCTTGGGGAAAACGTTCACGATGAAGTCTGACCATAACAAGATTGCCAACATTAAATAGTTTCTGTCGATTGGGCATCTATGGCAACCTTGTAGCGTTGATTGTAATTGATTAGTTGTTAACGCAGGTCGGTAAGAATTTGCGTATATTGGTTGGTGATGGTGGTAACAGCTGCTGACTTGCATTTGGATAAAACAGTAATGTCCAATGCCAAGTTAGGTGATTTAGTGTAGACAATACTAAAAAGGGACTTACCAGTGGAACAATTTGTCATTGCATTGTAAGCAAATTCCTCTTTACTTAGCATTTCTTCCCATTGCTTGGGGTGCTCTTGGACTAGACATCGAAGTATGTTTCCTAGGGTGCAGTTAACAACCTCAGTTTGGCCATCTGATTGGGGGTGATAGGCTGAGCTCAAACTTAAATCAGTGCCCAAATGTTCTAAGCTCGTGCCAAAAGTGACTAATAAACTTTACATCTCTATTAAATGTTAGACTCCGAGGCAAGCCGTACACATGAACAATTTTGTGGAAGAAAATATTGGCAATGTGAAGAGTGTTAGATGTTTTCTTATATGATATGAAGTGCGCCATATTAGAGGATTTGTCGATGACCACCATGATTGAATCATTACCACGCCTGGTTCTTGGTAAGCCTCTTCCCAAATAAAGTCTCGGATAGACAATGGCATGTAAAGTCCAGTGTTTTGAGCTCCTCTCTTATAATTTTGATAGATGGAGCAGCGATTGACAAGTTTGATGGCATAATGACGTAGACGGGGCCAAAAGAAACACAAGTTCAAGAGCTGCAGTGTCTTCTCGCGACCTGCATGAGCAGCTAAACCTCTACAATGTGCTTCATGGATTAGGTGTTGCCGCAAGGATGACATGGGAATATAGAGGAGATTATTGCGAAATAAAAAGCCATAGCGTAGGGAAACTACAAGAAAATAGGTAACTAGTGACCAACAAAATTGGTCGCTAAAAATGTTAATTTGGACGCTAAAGAAAATAGCGACAAAAAAATTATTTGGATCGCTGATTTGTCGCAGTTGCCTCGTCGCTGAGGCTTTTAGCGACCAATTTTTTTTTGGTTGCTAAATTAGCGACCCCTAATTAATATTGGTTGCTAAAATTGGACATATTAGCGACCATTTTTTTGGACGCTAATGAATATTTATTTAGATGCTATTTAGTAATTTTAATAATTAATTTTATTAATTACATTTTCTCTTTAGCGACCAAAATAAAAATTAGTCGCAAAATAATCAACCTAATAAATCACATGCCCCATTAATTTCATGAAGTTTTGATATATGGTTATGGATATAAAAGTTATGATATTTAGTAAAAAAAATTATTATCCAATTATTATTCCTTGGTTATAACAATTAAGATCAATCCATCACTCCTTTATATTGCAATTAGTTAGATAAATTTCATAATAGAGAAATAACACATTTTATTAGCATGAGGTAACAATAATAAAAAGCATAGAATCCAAAAAAATTATATTCAATCTCAGTATAATTGTCAAGAATTTGTTAGGATAAAATGAAAATTATATTCATTCATATGCTTTTATAAAAACATCCATCAATTAATATAAAAAATGCGATCTCAGAAATCATTAATCCTAAAATCTTAATGTTTACAAAATGATAACATCTAGTTAACAAAAAATCTTTCATTAACTTTTATGCAAATAAATATAAAATTACAAAATCAGCTGTATCAAAGGTAAATGACAACATCAATCTATAATCACATTTAACAAAGCTTGTGCATTCGGAAGAGAAAAGCACTCCATCCTATCTATATAATAGAAAATCTTAGAGAAGCTGCTACTAAAAGGAATGCTATCCATAAGGTCTTCATTTTCTAGGAACAGCTCACAAGAAGGATGCAACAAGTTTAGCTCTGTTTCCTCTTCAACGGCTTCCAAAATGTCAGCTTCCAGATTTGACTTGCAGAAAGGAATTATCAAGTTAGATGCATAAATATTGTAGTTTTTCAAATAAGGAAACTTTATGGGCGAGACAAATCTGTCACAAAACATCACAAACAATATCAAAGAAAATCATCGTGAACAAATAAGATAGTTTCATCAAACACTCTTAAAGATGCT